AAATGACGCAAATCTCGTGTCTATCGGGGACCATCGGGTTTAGGTATCTTCAGTTTAACCGGAACGTATTGCATCACTTGCACGTAAAACACTTGTACTCCTGAAGGTATTGGTAAACTTTATATGACATTGTGCTTAATTTTACTACATGTATCAAATAGGATTTTACTCTTTAACACTATCTCTATTATTATTTACACAGATGGTTTTTATTCTCCTTTGTTTCGTGACGTTTACCTTGGTACTCGTGCAATTGAGGCTCGTGACTTTCGTTCGAGGTTATTTAGGTAAGAGTGTTACTTGCTTTTAAAGAGATGTTTAAGGAGACTTCAGTTGTGAGGTCGTCAGAAAAGGTGATTCAATGAAGCAAGAATCTACGTCTGGGTAGAGGCGTCCATTTGTGGTAGGGAAATAGGGGAAAAAATAGGCTCGGGGAGCGGGGAGCGGGGGTAAGCAAGGGAGGAGCCCAGCATTCCCCTTTTCCACTTTTTCTTCCCTCGCCGTCTCCTCGCGATTTTTAGCCCCTTCTCCCGCCCCAAACAAAGAGCCTGTTCACATGCTATAGTTTATGGAGGAAATACATGCATCCAAACTGATGTGTTTTCAGTTTCGGTAAAAACTCTAAAGACAAGTTAACTCTGACAAAATTCGTTGGATTATTCTTAGTAGTCGTTCTACTCTGACGAAGGCGTCAGAATGCCAGCCGAAAAACCAGTATTTTAATACCCTTTAGGTCACAAACAATAAATCAAAAATGCCATTTTGAGGAATGTATATAGGTTTTGGTGACTGGTTTGTAGGACTTTTCGCCGAAACTGCTCGAAACGCCTTGAAACGAGCGCATGGAACTGACTTGCTCCCTCCAGGTTATTTGCTCCTGTTTAAAACTGGTAATTAGAATGCTTTTTAGATAAATAAAGGAATGAATAAATAAATAAATAAATAACGGTTTAAAGGTAGCAGATCCACTTAGTAGTTCTTCGTCCTGATTTCTGGTCGAACTGGAATTTGGAAATGTTGGGTTTTGACGGGAGGGGAAAACTGGAGAACACGGAGTCAGAATATCCTCTCGGAGCAAAGGAGAGAACCAACACCAAACTCAACCCACATATGGCATCGACCCCGCAGAGTCCCTTTCGTGAACGGTCGCTGCCATCTTTATACACTTAGAGAATTTTTGACCTGTTATTGAGAGTGTTTCTATCAAAAAGAAAGAAAATCGCAACCCGGGGTCGAACCCGCACCTCGAACCTTTCCTAATCTCTCTCCCTTACTACTGCACTACCACACCGTTCCGCCAAAATTCCGAAACATTTACGTACGTAAACTAGCAAACTGTCTTTCCTAACTATCACATCATGAACAGGTGATCCTAGCCCTTGGCCATAACCTTTCACGTAAATTCAACTTGGGCTTCTACGTCGTTCTTTCCAAGGCCATTCAAAGACGTATTATTTCCCTTAAATTACATCTATCATGACTATTAAAAGGATTGGTTACTAATGGCGGCATCGACCGCTAAAAATGGCAACGACCGTTTACGGAAGGGAAATAGGCGTCGACACCGGGATTTGAACCCGGGCCACATCGGTAGGGGAAGCGAGTGCTATCACCACTGCGGCATCCGATGATATTGGCTGAGGCGATTGTTAGGTTGGATCCTACCCTGCCGTTGCTTTGATCATGAGACTTTCTTCGCCATCTTATGTATTTATGACCGGCCAATCAGAAAAAGCGTTTATGGAAAGTTTTTGGAAGCGGTTCGGTGAGAGTTAGTGCCTGGACTCCCCCCAGCCCTTTGCCCTTTTGTTCTTCTTTTGCCCGTAAATATTCCCTTCCCATTAGCTGCCACTGGGTTTCCGGGTATGGATTAACTGGTGATATCTTTTGAATCTAGATACGGATAATATCGTATTAGTAAAATCCAACCAGCGGTCTATTATCAATGCTGCGTTCTGATTGGTTGAGCTACTACCAGGCTGTATGTTATGACCCACTAGTAGCGAAAAGCGCCGGCTTTGAAAACCAAAACAATGGCAGCTGAATCGCGTTTTGCTAGCTAAAGTTGTTTTGTCTCGATATTTTTGACAAGGCAGTTGGATTTTACTGAAACAATTATTCCTCTTGCCCTCATGGCCTCTGAGTCAGAGCCCATTTGAGCTCGAGGAATAATTGTTAAATATCTGCCGGTGATGTCGTCATTTGTGATATTCCTAGACTTTCACTCAATTAAACAGGGACTGCCACTGGCTGATTCTTGGTCACATGACCTTGCATAAAATCAAATGTATCA